AGTTCAGAAGTAACTCGGACTTTGGTTTGTGCTGTGTAAAGATCTGGTCGCCCACTCATGGGGGAGGTGACACTTGGGAGGTGACATTTGACATCGTTTTGAAGACAGCATGGAGGTGAGGGCGCTCGCCTCCCTTGTGTGAGCATAAGGCAGCAGGATGGTGCTTGGCTGATCCCAGGAGACCAGCGTTCCAGTTCAAATTCCTAGGCTTGCCCACTGCATAACCTTGGGGAAAACATTGCCCAGTCTCGATTTCTCCTTTAAGAAGCAGATGGGGAGTAGGGGGGTCACTTGCACCCCACATGTGCCTTTCCCACCCTACTATCCCTTCTGGGCTTCTGTGTACCTAAAGAAATCAACCGTCCCTTCCCGGCCGCCCTCACCCGACCTGAGTGCAATATGAACCTCCCACCCCGTGGGCCCCAGAGGAGCTGCTGTAAGCACATATGAAGAACCTCGATTTAGACCCAGCCCCTTGGTGCCCGTCTTCAGCCCTCGTACATCAGGTCATCATCCTCATCTGTCCGTCCCCAGCTCTCCTTTGTCAGACACGGTGCTGAGAACTCCATGTGTCTCTCAGCCACTCTTTGCAACAGCCTAAGAACACGTGATTACCCCCCCTCCCCCCACTACATCACCTCTCTCCTGGTCTCCTAGAAGTCAGGCCACACCCTGCTGCAGCTCTCTTAGTGTGAGAGTATAAACCCTCTTTTTTCTTCAAGACGGCCATCATGTTATACATAGGAGCTCGATTGCTCTCTCTCTCTCTCTCTCTCTCTCTCTCTCTCTCTGTCTCTGTCTCTCTCTTTGTCTGTCTCTCTGTCTGTCTGTCTGTCTGTCTGTCTCTCTCTCTGTCTCTCTCTCCCCCCCCCTTTCCCTCTCTCACCCCCCTCGCACCTCAAGGCCCAGTCATGGCTGCCTATGGTCACAAGATTTTCTCTCCTAACAAAGTTCTGGAGCGTTCTGGAGGTAATTCCGTGTCAGCTCTTTTCTGTGAACCTTCAGTAATGGTTAACACGCCCTTATTTTACAGGTGAAGACAAAGGATCAGAGAGGTGATGAGGCTTTATTCATGGCCACTGAGGTGCTTGATGTCACAGTGGATAGAAGCAGGTTTCCCGACTCCCTCCTCCATCCTTGCAAGTCAAATGCTTGGTGGTAGAAAGTAGCCATTGCAAAAGGGACTCTGAATGTGCAAGCTTAGCTGGGTGACAAACAGTACCCTACGCTTAGCTCTGGTGGTGGATTTTGCTCATTCAACAGCTGTGTTAGCTGCGACTGTGGCTCGTGTTGTTCTGGGAGTTTCCAGCCTTGGTTAGGTTGAGGGCAGTCTCTAGCTGGGATGTGACTAGCTCCTGTGATTCCTGAAAGGGCCGCAGTCACATTTGAGCCTTGTGCCAGAGATGGCATGCATCATTGCCAGAGCAAGTGGTGATCGGTAGTCTATTGTTCTCCCGTAAAAGAGGTGCACTGGGAGGCTGGGAATAAATATTTGCACAGTAACTCTGTCTACCAGGCACTTGGCTGTGTAGCTGGATACCTGAGTCTTACCTGTGCCTCTGCCACTTGGCTGTTGTGTGACTGTCAGCATCATGATGTACTTTCTGCCATGTACTTCAGCTTCCTCATCTGTAAGATGGGATCATAGCTAGAGCCCGGCATTCTTTGCTGGAGTAGCCATGGCAAAATACCATCAGTAGAGGGCTTATAGGACCGAAATGTAATACTAATATAATGCTTCATGTTCTGGAGGCTGGAAATCCAAGATCAAGGTGTTAGCCTTGGTTCCGGTGAGGGCTTCTCCAGACTTGCAGATGGCCCCCCTCTCTCACGTTTCCTTTCTGCCAAGGGTGTGACTCTACACGTTCGTGTTTTCTGATGCCACACATGCATAGTCTTGTTGTACTTGAGTCTATTTAGCACAGGACCCAGTTCAGCAGTGTCTGCAAAGCACCACGTTCTTGATTCCCCCTGACCCAGCTCCCCGCTATTAACTGTTGTAGTAATGACTGATTCTGACTGTCTGATCTTCTCGCCAAAACTCCCTTTCCTGGGAAGCAGGTACAAGGAAGAGCTCACAGCTTCTGTCCTGGAGCAGATAGGTGATCATGAGGGTGGTGACCTTAATGAGGGTGACGACAGTGGAGGTGATGACAGTTATCATGCTGACGCTGATGGTAATCTTGGTGGGGATGATGGTTAGTTTTATCAACTTGATATAGTCTGGAATCACCTGATAAGGAAGTATAGATTAAGTTGCCCTGAGTGCATGTCTGTAGGGGATTATCTTGATTATATTAATGGAAGTAGAAAGATCTGCTCACTGCGAGTGGTACCATTCTGTAGGTAGGAAATGGTGCCAAGTGAGAGTTTTGATATATAAAGATTATATGTGTGTTTTATATATATATATATATATATATAGAGAGAGAGAGAGAGAGAGAGAGATAATAGATGATGGATGATAGATAGATAATAGATCAATACATTGATAAATAGATAGGTAGATGACAGATAATAGATATAGATGGTAGATAGACAACATAGATGATAGATAATAGAGATAGATGATAGAGATAGATAGATAGATAGATAGATAGATAGATAGATAGATAGATAGATAGATAGATAGATAGACAGACAGACAGACAGGCAGACAGAGTGAGTGTTCCCACCCTGTTCTCAAAGAAACCAGGGACAAATGACTAACTGAGGTACCTATCATATCAAAGCAGACTCTGGCTGCCAGTCTCTCTCAGCCTGAAAGTGCCTCTCACAGGTCCTGGCTCACCTCTCAGCACTTCTCACCCTACCCCTACCCCAAACCCCTCCAGCCCCTGAGCTTCACCCCCCCCCCAATCTTCTCTTCCCTTTATAGCTCAGACATTTGGGCTGTGTGCGCTCTTAGGTCTCTTTGCCCTCTTGGTTTTCTTTTGTCTTCTGTCTGTTTGTCTGTCTGTCTGTCTCTCTCTCTTTCTTTCTTCTCTCTCATCTCTGTGATGTGACCAGGCCCCTTCAATGTTCTGCCGCCTTGACTCACTCTCACTGATTGACTGTGATCAGGAACTGTGATCCCAAACTCTTTGTCCCTTAGGTTGCTTTAGTCGGGGTACTGTATCAGGAAAGAAACGGACAAGTGGGGAGCATGATGATGTGGTGTTCTTTGTGATCACAACGGTGGTGTTGGTGATGTTTCTGATGACTGGTGATGGTGGTGGCCGTGATGAGGTGATGTCATGTTTGTGGTGACGGTGACTATAGTGATTTGATGATGGTGGTGGTGTTTTCGATGATGGTGGTGGTGGTGTTTTCGATGATGGTGGTGATGTTTTTGATGATGTGATGGGGACAGCAGTGATGAGGAGGAGGCAGGGAATAATTATTTGCATGGTACAGTAGTAATGTTTGTGATGGTGGTGGTGGTGGTGGTGGTCACGACAATGATGGCAGTGAGGACGGTGTTCCAGCTTTCAGAGAACATTTATTATGCACATCTTGGGTACTGTCTTTATTTTGGCCTCTGGATCATCCCAGCAACCGGAGGAGATTAAGTACTACCGTCATTCTTTATAGGTAGGGAAACCGACAGGCAGCCACATGTCTGTGACAGAGGGGCAGAAAACCATTGAGTGACAGTCCTGGTCATCTGGTCCATGGTCAGTGCCCAAAAGCACACTTGTAGCATGAGTATCCGGGCTCTGGGTCATTCACTCTTTTTTTTTTTTTTAACGAGACAGGGTTTCTCTGTATTGATTTGGAGGCTATCGGTCCAGCCCGGCCTCGAACTCACAGAGATCCGCCTGCCTCTGCCTCCCGAGTGCTGGGATTAAAGGTGTGCGCCACCACCGCCCGGCCCCATTCACTCTTGATAGCAGCAGCCCTCAGCAAACCCAGGTTCAAAGGCCACTGAAGCATCCTGGGAAAAGAGAAGGAAGGGCCTGGCCTCTTAGGACGTTCTTCTCCTCTGGCAGGAGAAATAGCCCCGGGCAGGTGTGATTTTTCACCACACTTGATGTCTGGTGATGTCCCATGCGTCTCAGACCTTAGGACGCAAGCTCAACCAGCCATCATCCACCCCCATTCTCAGATTCAACTTCTTCTCCCTACAAACTACCTGGCTATCTGTTTCCTGCCCACAAAAGAATGTTCTGGAGCCAGAACTTCTTTCTGCCTCCTGCCCCAGAGTGACTGTGACTGTTCAGTTTGGGTCAGGGGCCTTTCAAGCCGTGTTGACCTGCGGCAGAACCAACACTCAGCTGACTCTCTGTGATTCCCACTGCTACAGGGAAATAACGGGCACGGGGAACAGTCAGCCTGCCCGTGAGTTCGGTTCTCTTCCTTAAAGGAAGATTGCTGTGTGCAAACGGGCCTGCACGTCAGGTCTCCCACAAGGCGGATAGCCATTAGCTCTAAGGCACAAGAATGTCTGCCTCCCTCTGTTGCCCGAGATTCAGAGATAACCTGAGTGCAGGCACCTACCACGGGGATGGGGGCTGCTTATCAACTACCAGGCAGGGGAATTCCTCCCCCCACCTCTGAAGCCCGTGAGAGCCCCTCCCCCATCCTGTGCGGCTAAGAACTCAGCCAATAAATCTCTTACCCGAAGGGACAGGCTGTCTCTGGACCCTCACAGCCTGGGTCAGCGAGGTCATGGCCTTTGACCCCTGGGGCCCCAGCTAGCTCTGGCCCAGGCTCTGTCACATCCTCCCTGCTGCCCCCTCCCTATAAGGAAGCTCATGCCCTGAGGTTGGAATATGCCCTGGAGCCAGCCCCTATTCCTGGGCCCAGGGCAGAGGGCTGTTCCCTGCTTTAGTCTGCTGGCGGCCATGTTCATCCCCCAGGAGTGGGAGGAGCCTGTGCTGCTTTAGGCAATCTCGAGTTCTTCCCCGGCACCGAACCCTTAACCAGGCCATCACCCCACTTTAGAAGTTGGAGTTTGCCTGTAAGGCTGAGCTGGGTGAACTGCAGGAGGCAACTGAGCCATTGTTTTTGTGTTTCAGATGAAGAAACTGGGACTCAGAGAGGTTAAGGAATTCCACTGATGCGGCACAGCAGGTTAGAACTCTGTTTTTCCTTGACTCTAGAAACTGTGCTCTGTTGTCTGGGATGGTGTTGGACTGATTTGTCTCCACCAAAGACTTAGCTGTGGCTTTTGTCATCTGGTGACCTCATATAGAACTGTGGGCTTACAGAAAGAGCTTTGGGGCCTTGGGCTGAGTTGGGGCCTGGTTTGTGGTTAGGACACTCCCGAGCTCCAGGGCTAGTTGAGGGAATGAGTCCTGGGTGACTGGCAGCTGGGTACCCATCTCCCAGAGAGGTCCTCTGAGGACCCAGCTCTCTAGGGAGCCGATCACGGAGCGACAGAGGGGCCAGGCGCCTCCTCATACCTGTGTCACATCCTGACTCAGCCACAGAGGTGCCCACAGACTCATCTCACCCTCCAGTGACACCGTCTTGGGTGGTTGAACAGTTGCACCACCTGGTTATTTTTAGTTGTTTGGTTTTGCGAAGCCAGAGGAAACCGCTCTCCGAACCCATAATTTGCTCAGCCGGGGTCAGACAGAAAAGGCAAAACTCCAGGGTCATAGGCTGCTTGATCCAGGTGGACGCAGCTGTCTGACAGGCTCCTCTTCCCCTCTTCCTCCCATGAGGTCTCAGCACCTGAGGAGGCCGAGGTCTCCCACACCTCTGTGAGGCCCGGGCGGAAAGAACCTGGTTCTGGGCCCTGAGTGTTCCCTGTTGTCCCGAGTCTCCGTCCTCAACTGGGGGCCCTGGGCAAGGCAGGCTAGTGAGATCCAGCCCCAGGTCATCGGGAGACACACAGAAAAACAAGTGTGTTCCCCAGTGCAGGGTCATCTCACGGGTAAGGCAGGAGGGGAGTGACAGCAAGGTGACTTTTAAGGTGGTCAGGAGGGCAGAGTCACAAATTCAGGGAGGGCTCAAGGTAATGGTTCAGTTCAACAGAGTCCTGCCTCGCAGACGTGAAGACCTGAGTCTGGTTCCTCCGCTCACGCTTTTCAAAAGCTGGGTGTAGTGACACTTGCTACTACCTCTGCACCAGGGACACTAAGATGGGCGGGTCCCTGGGGTTCTGTGGCCAGCCAGCATAGCCTATATGGTGAGCCCGGGTCCCTGTCTCAAAACATCAGGTGGATGGCTCCTGACAGAAAAAAACAAGACACCTGTCATGGACCTCTGACCTCTGCACGTGTACCAGCAGTGCGCCCTCATGCGTGTGCACATACGTGTGTGCCTGCATAGACTCAAGATAGCAAGCAAGGTAGCTGCGATGAAAGAACGGGACCCTGGGGGTAAAAAGACCGCAGGGTGTGCCGATAGCCCCGAGTCAGGAGTGTGCTCGGTGCCCCGTTGCTCAGTTCCACCCTGATTCTCTGTGTGTTCGGTCCCCCCACCTTCTCACCCGCACGGCTGCCCCTCCTCGGTTTCCCTCTGTCTGTCTTCTCCGGGGTCCTGTAGGGCGGGGAGGGAACTAGAGAAATCAGACGCAGGACAAAGGCGTCTCTGGCAGGGAGCCGTTCGTTGATCCTTAGTCCGCTGCACTCAGCGGAATCTGAGATTGCTTCGTTTTGTGGCTTCGCGTTTATTCTCAAAAGGCATTTCAGAGACAGGACCATGAGCCCTCTCTGCAGGATACTCTTGTCAGGCCCACGATGTCACGTGAGCAGGAGATGGGCCATCCAGAAAGCGAGACTGGGCCACTGTGTGGAGCAGGCCTTGGGAGGGAGGCCCAGCAGGCAGACTAGAGCTGGAGGAGTGCAGGGGCGTGGCCTCCATCCGGGTCCACTTCTTCAGCTTGCTTCGTCGGCACTTCCCACGCACCTGCTACCTAGTTCCTACAGCTGCTCATACTAGAAGGGATATTCTCAGAAAGTCAAGGACCCCGAGTCCTAGCCTCAGTGTTACCACAGACTGGTGGGCATTCCTAGGCTAGTCGCATCCCCTCTGTGAACCTCAGATGCTAAAGCAGGGAGGTGGTGGCGCGGGAGTGTTTCTCTGACCCTGAAATGGGACAAAGCGTGTCTCTGAGGTGAGCGGCGATGAGCAGAGCAGGAGGACAAGCCCCCTGGCACAATACCCTTCTGTTTCCAGGTTTCTGGCTCTTAGCAAAGAAAACCTAAGAGCTGCAAAATCTAGCATTGCCTAGGGTTTCCAGACTGGAGCTTTGGGCCAGCCTTGTATCCCCAGACACTCCAGGGCCTGAAGCTCATTTGTGGGAACAGTTGAGCAGTTCTTTCCTGGGGGCCCAGAAGGACTTAGTAAACCTCCCATGAACTGAGTTTCTTTCAACTGGAAGAAGAACAGTCAGAAAGCCATTCTGCCTGGATTCAGGCTTGGAGTGCCTTACTTTCCTAAGTTCTGAGAGGCAGAGACCAGGACTAAGGCTTGCACATGCAGTAAGCTGTAGTACGAGACAGGAACATTGGGTGTGAAGTGCCACCGTTTTGCAGCCAAGGAGCAAAGCTTTCCAGTCTGGGCTTCGTTTCCCTAACTAACGCGTGAAGTGGACACATTGACGGTTGATCGGACGGTGTGGATTAAAGTTGCTGCTCCACTTGGGACACAGAAGTGCCCAGGGGCCCAGAGAAGGGGCGGACGGGGTAGCACCCTCTGGAGGCCAAGGCCTGCATTTTCCCACTCTGAGATGTTACTGCATCGTCTCATGCGTGGGGAAGGGTGGCAGGCTGTGGTCCTGCAGCTGACCGCACACCCGGGGGCTGACCTCTTAGTGAGTCCCCCTGTGCCCTGAAGCCCTGTGACATGTAATGATTGATGAGGAGATGCCTCCGTGACCACACAGATCCATCAGGTAGCATGGTGCTATCAAGGTGTCTCTGGCCCCCAGGATATGATATTTATCACAGGCATGGGCAGCATGACCCAGGAGTTATGTCTGGCTTTGACTGGGGTCTTGTCACTCACAATGTGGCAGTGAATTACATCCTCGGGGCTTCCTGTCTCCATGTCTCCGTATGCAAAGAAAGATTAGCTCAGAGCTGCGAGGCTGCACTTGGCAGAACCACCCAAGAGAGCAGGCTCCATCAGAAAACGGGTGCTGTGAGCTCCTCCCTGGCACGGGGCTGCATGGCCGTGCTCAGGCTTCCCTCACAAAGGTGCAGATAGGGAGACACTGGCAGTGGCATATTTCTTGTGGCTGTCTCCAGGGCTATTCTAGGGTCGGGAAACACATTCCATGGTCCGCCAGTCATCACTGTTTCCTGCTTGCTAGGCCTGCCTGCCCACACGCCTGACAGGCCACCCTCTGTTTCCTGTCTTCATCCCAGGCCTCAGAAGGATTATGTAGCCTCTGCGTCTACAGTGTTGGTCCCTAAAGCAATGGCCTTCATTCCCTGGGTTCGGGGGGATGCCAGCAGGCAACTTGGGTGTGGTAAGCTGTCACGTGAAAGAGTGGCTCTTTCTGGCAAGCTTTTGTTCACCTCAGGGGCTTAGGCAGCTTCATCTAAGACCCTGCTGCAGGCGGAGACATGGCTGAGTCCTCCGTGCCTAGGCGGCTCTCACAGGCAGGGGCTGGTGCGTGCTGGGCTCCATACCACAATCTTGGTCATCCTGGACCCACTAACAGTAGTCCCAGGCTCTTCTGGAACCGTCTAAAGTTCTTGCAGTCAGAATTGGGGGTGTGCAGGAAGGACACATGTCAGCTTTCTGAAGCTTAACTCCCAGCAGCCCAGCTGCCACATCTCGCTCACATGAGCTCCCTAGGAGCAGCTGACAGCCCTGGGACCACTGGGGGAGGGGTGAGGGTTCCCAAGCGGCCTTTCCTGTGCTCTGGTTGCTGCACCATCCGAGTCAGGGACACCCTGGGAGGACCTGTGTGCCTGGGTACCCAGCCGGCAGGATCCCTCCAGTTCCCACTCCGTTTCTTCACCTCTCTTGCTGTTTATGTGTGGATTTAAGAAGATTTGTGGATTTAAATTCCTTCTGTGCTGCTGAGAATATGAAAATGTAGCCCGACCGCTCCCCACGTGACTCTAATCCCGGTTAATCAGGCTCCGGGGGCGTCTGAAAAACAGTGTCCTGAAGGGTTATCTGTGTGTCAATGGGGTCTTTGCTCCCCATCCTCCCAGCAAGGAAACCATCGAGAAGGCAGATGGGAGAGTCGGGAAAGAGACTTGCAAGGGCAGCCAGGGGGTCTCCCATCTGCCAGCACCTCTCGGTTATGGAGAGTTGACTGAGAGAGGGTGAAGGAAGGAACAGGGAACCCGAGGCACCAAAAGCGATAAACTTGGTCTCACGGGTGAGATCAAACTGCTCTCTGGCCTCCTTCGGGAGTGTCCTGGACCCCCTCTGCGTGCCAGCCTTGTATGCCACTGTAGCCTGGACCGTGCTCACACACTGACCATACCTCTGCTTTGCCTTCATCTCAAATCTGCATTCACAAGCATCCCATGACTAGGCTGTGTCCACCACCTTGGACCCTCTAAGGAAACCCATTTCTCCGGAATCCTGACTGGTTCCGTTGGCATTACCAAATGCTGAGAGGACCCTCAGTCTCCCCCCTCCACCCCTCATCCTTACCAAGCCCAGATGTCTGCAGAGCCACTTGCTCCAAGAAACCTTCCTTGAACTGTCACTGGTCAGGCATTTCCAAGCCACTGAAGTCTTTAGTGGGACCTCCTGGGAGGCACTGGCCCCTCTGAGCAGATTTAATACAGGGGCCAGCATGATACTTCCTGGCTCTGGCCCCAATCTTTGGTGTCAGTATCTGGTGGTGAAGATGACACACACACACACACAGGTGTATTCGTTACTTTTCTGTTGCTGAGATAAAACACCACGACCAAGGCAATTTGCAGAAGAAGAGTGTATTTGGGATTACAGTTTTAGACGGTGATGGAGCAGAGGCAGCGGGCGACAGGCTGGAGCAGAGACTGGGGGCTCGTGTCTTGAATCACAGGCAGAAAACAGAGAGGCAGGGACCTAGGATCAGGGCAAAGCCTTGAGCTCCCAGAGCTGACCTCCAGAGACACACTCCCTCCAGCAAGTCTCCAAAGCCTCCCCAGAGAGTGCCAACAGTTGGGAACCATGGAGGACGTTTCCATTCGAACCACCACATCAGCTGTGTCAGAAGAGTACTACAGGCTTCCAGGGGATGGGGGGGGCATGGGGGAGTGATGGGGGGGTGACAGTGTGACACTGGAGGACTGACTTAGGACCCAACTCAGCCCTTCCTAGCCTTGACCCAGAGCAAGCCCAGAGTAAGTCAGGGCTTACATGTCATTGTATAATGTGATAGACACTGTTGAAAGAGGCTGCTTGTTGCCACCAGTTCCATGTGGTTTGGGAAGGTCAGCCTCTCAGAGCCCGACTTCCTCCTCTACAAAGCAGGGCTGGCTCCAGGAAGCAGCTAAGAGACTCTCTGACTGCTTGAACTTCACATACTAGATACTTTTCTCATTGCTGAGACAAAATGCCTAACAAACTCAAGGGGGGGCAGGTGTATTAGTTACTTTTTGTAACTAATAAGTAACAAAAAACCAAGAGTTTATTTTGACTTGACATTCTGAAGGGAAAGCCACTAGTGCCCCCCCCCCACATGGAACAGGAAGTTGAAAAGTCACATCTTCTTTTTCCAATGCAATGGGTATGCGTGAGTGTAAATCAGCATCAGATCCCTCAGACCTGGGGCTGCATCCAGGTAGGTTTGTGCTGTCTAATGGAGGTGCTGAGACCCGAACCCTGACCCCTGCGATAGCAGAAGTGCTCTTAACCTCTGAGACAACTCCCCAGCCACCTCCTTCTACCTTTGTGAGGTTTATTTTATTTCCCTGGTAAATCCTAAATCCAGCCTGCTTGACAGTGAAAATCATCCACCACACAAAAACAGTAGGTCTGTCTGGATTGGGCAGAGCACGTAGAGCTAAAATGGGGAGTGGGTTGGGCTTCCGGGGTAAGAATAAGTAGGGATGTGACCACTGGCTGCCAGGTTCGGTTGGAGATGTGATCCTAGGGCTCTGTCTCCAGGACAAGCACTGAGGATCCAATCTGGGAGCATGCAAGGGAAGTGTTTCTCACAGGCCAGTCCTTTGCAAAGTTGAGGGGATGGAGGGCCTTGGGTATTTAGGGTACCTGCTTTGGCTGGGACCCCGAGACCAGCAAGCTTCAGGAAACCAGCACAGAACACAAATCTATCTTCAGACTTTAGGTAGGGAAGGCAGGCTCCAAAATCCACTGTAAACCACCTGCAGCCTCCACCCTAAGGCGGGGGGGCAGAAGAAAGGCCTGGCTGTCTCTTCTGTCTACCCAGGAATCATCCGCTAAGTGCTTGCAGAGCTCTCTTGGCAAGAAAAGCTCAAAAAATGAGATTATTTTAGACCCAGGCCCTCCCTCACTGGAGATGGAAGCGAGTATGGAGGAGGCCAGTGTAGCTGCTCACCGTGGTAGACAGCAACCTGGGGTCCCGGTCAGCAAGACACATTCTAAGCAGGGTTGGTACACAGTAGTGATGGACACGGTCATTTAGAAGCAGATTCCCTCCCCTAGCCCCTGGCCACCACATGACTTTAACTACAGGATCCTAGAATTTTGGGGGGCAGATTTCTGAACATCTCCAGTCTCCCAAGTTCCCCAGGAAGTGTTAGGTAGGGGACATCTTCAGGAGAAAGCGAGTCACCTAGCATCAACAGCAAGAAACTCTTGAGTAGTCCTCAGCTGCAGGCTCTGGGCGGTGCAGCAGCTGGGGCTATATTTCTCTCCACAGCTGGGCTCCAGGCAGCGGCCTCCAGCACTGACTCACTGGGCTGTGGGTTCTCCAAATGACGTCTTAAAGCAGGAGTAGGACACACCCCTGCATGAGAACACAGAAACCCCAGATCGTGCTCAGCGGACTCTGTTTCCAAGGCCAGCATCTTCTTCCTGGAATTTCTTGCTTAGTGCAGAGTAGATGTACCAGACACGGGAAAGGGAGGGACATGGTGTCTAGACTCATCATTCCCAGATCTGAGAAAGTGATGGTTGAGGACCCAGGTTCAAGCTCATGGTTCATTTCCTGTGTGTAAACTCGGTCAGAGGCTTCCCTGCTGAGTCTCAACCGCATTATGTGTGCATTGGTGGAGATGACTTGTTTTAGTGCGTGTTAGATACCAAGAAGCTCTGCTCTTAATTTCTATAGGCCCTTAGAAAATAACACACACACACACACACACACACACACACACACACACACACACACACAGAGAGAGAGAGAAAAGGGAACGCTCTGTCTTAAGGAACAGACCTGAGCCCAGAGAGGTAGACTCTCACCCAGGGTCTCTGGGCGAGGAAAGACTCATTGTTCACACTCAGGCATAGCTGACCACAAAGGCTATGCCCTAGTTATAATTCAGTGCAAAGCATGAAGAACAGATTGGCCCCAACCAACACTGCTGCCCAGAACTGTGAGGGTGATAGTCTCTCCACGGAGGTGTCAATCTCGAGGGCTCCAAGGGGCAATGCATCTGTGCTCCCAAGCATAGGGATAGAGAGTCCAGAGGGACGGCAAAGTGGGAGCTGAGCCGAGGTGAGGGAGCCCCTAGGCCAGTGGTTCTCAATCTTCCTAATGCTGCCCCTTTAACACAGTTCCTCATGTTAGGGAGAACCCCCAACCATAAAATTATTTTTGTTGTTATTTCATAACTGTAATTTTGTTACTGTTATGAATCATATTGTAAATGCTTTTGGAGATAGAGGTTTATCAAGGGGATCACAACACACGGGTAAAATCCACTGCCCTGGGGTGTCAAAACCAGCTACAAACTCACTGGATCAGCCTCGGAGCCCACGGTGACCACTCTCATGGGTTGACTATTTAATGTGTCTCACACATCATATGTCTCCCCGGTCCCCAGAAAGCACTGAAGGGCCAGCTGCCACCACCTCGAGGAACAGAGGCACCAGAGGCAGGGGTTACCTTGGCCTGTATTCTTTGATGCCTGGTGTCATTTGGGCCTTTCAGTAACCTTGCCCTTGAGAAACAGCCCAGGTGTCTTGTTGGGTTACATAGGAAGCATCTGGGATTCAAGAAAGCGTGGTGCCCTGAGCCAGTCACCTTTGTGCCTGTCATTCTTTCCACACGGGCCTGAGGGGCACTGTTCTGTTCTCTGCATTCAGAAAGCAAGGAAGGGTCAGAGAGGTGAAGGGCACAGCCCACAGCCCAGGGGAACCGTGGTGTGCTTATGACTGTCTTTCCTTGGGGCTGTTGGCCTGGTTCCAGCGAAAACCTTCCATAACAAGAATAGGTGATGCTGAGTGTCCAGTGAGCAGGACAGGGCTGGACGTGGAGCAGTTTGGGGAAGGCTCTTTCTGCTCTGTAGCATGTTGTAGGCCTTTCACTGGCCCAGGTCTTACTCTCTGCTTCATGGTTCTGTGAGTCAGAACCCAAGTGATGTTTCTCTTACTGGTTAATGAATAAAACACTGATTGGCCAGGCAGGAAGTATAGGCAGGGCTAAGAGATGAGAATTCTTGGAAATGTAGACAGACGGAGTCATCATGTAGAGCCTAGGAAGAAAGGTGCACAAGGTGTTCTCCAGTAAGCCAAGGCCACGCAGAAATACATACATTAATAGAAATGGTTAATAATTAAGACAGAGCTAGCCAATAAGAAGCCCTAATCATTGGTCAACAGTTTCATAATGAATATAGTGTATGTGTGTTTACTTAGGGGGTTAAGGGCCATGGGACCAACCAGGACCGAAAGCTCGCCTTACACCCAAGGTCCTAGAGAGGATCTACCTTTCAGTGATAAGAAAGACAAGATCTTGGCCAAAGTCACTGGGCCAAGAGTCAGGGTGCATGTGAAAAAATTGCCTGACACAGAGCTCACAAAAAGAGCTCTTACTGGGCTCTTCTGGACAGGGCGGGGGCTGTTGAGGCTCCAACTGTTACTCTGCCTGCTCCTGCCCAGCCTGTGGTTTATAGAGAGGGGAGATACACTGGAGCTCAGCGGGGGCCTCTCTAAACGATCCTTTCTCCCAAGTATCCGGGCGGCTGCAAAGCAGAGGACTCTGGGTAGAAACAGCCACAGCTTGAAGGGTGGGGCTCCCTGAGCAAAGGAGGACTGTGGGGTGAAGGCAGGAGATAAAGTGGAGAGGCAGCTACCCACCTCCTGCGTGCAGTGGGTGCTGACTCCCAGGAGGTACGGTGGAGTCCAGGACAGCAAGGGGCCGAATGGAGACGTGATTGAAAGGACAGAGAGATGGGGTAAGTTCATCAGCATCGAGAGGCTACGCCCTTCGCAAAGGAAACCTCCGGGGAAGGGGCTTAGGTTCTGAGCCATTTTCCCTCGTTGGAGGCACTTGCTCGTATGTAAATTGCATAGGTTCAGAGTTGGAGAAGCAGAAATCAGTATCGGAGAGACTAAAAAGCTGAGCTCCTGCCATTGTATTAGGTTTTTTTATTTTTGTTTTTCTGACAGAATACCTGCCCAGAACTACTTGGGGTGGGTTAGATTTACTGTGGCAAAGCTTGGCAGCCAGAGTGACTCTTGTCCATGGTGGCGGGAATGATGGCCCAGCAGTGACATACCCTGATAGATGGATTGGGAAGCAAAATTCCAGCTAGAAGCAGATGCTATCAAAGCCCACAGGAAGCCCCTGAGGCTTCTGGGAAAGGTGTGGCAAGAGAAACAGTTTCCATACCAAGGTCACCAAGCTCCGTGTTTTCTTTCTCTTTTTCTCCACAGATGCTTCTCAACCTCTGTACCTTCTTGGAGATGTCCTTAAAGTTCCCATCCTTGGTGACAGCCTGGGAAACACAAAGCTCTAATTAAGGACTGTCCCGAGCCACACTTTCTGGAGGAGAGGGGCCACGCATCGGCCCCACAGTCTGCACCAAGACCTTTTTTCAGATCCTCCAGGGGTGCACTCAGAGTGGGGATTAAACCTTGATCCCTTTGGCGTGGGGCAGAGCATTGCTCTTCCCAGGCTTGATTAAAGTCACCAAGCCACGCTTTCAACTGTGCTCGGGGTTGAGAAAAACCGCTCTGCTCCGTTTACCAAAAGGAAGGCAATACAGGCACAACTGCATCTCACCCACCACGCTCTTGGCACCACACAGACCACAGACCTAAGGAAGACAATACAGGCGCAACTGCATCTCACCCACCACACAGACCACAGACCTAGACGCGGCTCCAACAGGCTGGTTTGCCCCGGCTGCCTCGGTGGCCTCCCCTTCCTGCTGCCTGCGCCTGCATCTCTGGGATCCGCTCAAAACTAGGCAGGGTCGTCCCCGCCCCCTGCCGTCCGCACAGAGGAGCCGGCCAAGGGTAGAGATGATGACCATGAGGAAGAGGACGCTCAAGTGGCTCACCTTCTCCCTGCTTCTCATCTTCCTCACGTCCTTTGTCTTGAACTACTCCAGCACGGGAGTGCCCACTGCCTGGTTCTCCAAGCACATGGCCCTGGGGCTCTCAGACAACCTACGCAAGCTCATCAAGTCACAGCCTTGCGCCTGCACACGTTGCATCAGCCAGGGCAAGGTCTCCTACTGGTTCGACCAGCGCTTCAACAAGACCATGCAGCCGCTGCTGACAGCCCACAACGCTCTGATGGAAAAGGACACATACCAGTGGTGGCTGGTGAGCAGCCTAGGGGCTGGAAAGGATGAGGGGGACACAAGCTAGGTCTGGGGGGACCCACCAATCATCCGGCAGCATCCAGGGTGTCGTTTTTTTTCAGTCACCTCTTCGGTCAGCAACTGTTTATTGAGCATCTATTACGTGTAAGTCAGAGAAAAACCCTGCTGCTTTCCCTCCTGTGGCTCCCATAACAAATCACCATGGACCTGGTGGGTTAAGACATCAGAAGTGATCACACAGAACCGTCCTGGAGGCCAAGGGTTTTTTACCACCATGCTTTTTCCTACTGCTGCAGCTGACCATTCGTGGCTTCCCTTGGCCCGCATCTACAGCACCCAATCTCTGCTCCCGTTTCCCATGGTTTTCCTGTATCTTTGGAGTCCTCTCCTGGGAAGGGCGCATGGCCTTGGCTCTAGGGTGCACCCTGAGTCTAGGCTGGTCTCACCTGCCACCAGTAGCAAAAGTAGATCTTAGCAGGTGATGTGACTGAGAAATGCACTGATCATTGCTGTCCTCGGTGTCTGGGGTGGCCCTGGCCCCTTCCCTCATAACTGAAGGTCCGTTAAAGTGCTAGTCTCACACACAGTAGGTGCCCAGAGAGTACCTGCAGAATAAGTACATGAGCTTTCTTCCTGTCTCCCGTCTTGGGACGGGGGTGGCTATCACTAGCCACCTGTGCCTTCATTGTTAGTAGCTGGGTTTGGTGGCAGTGGGGCCAAGCTGACCACCCATCCTTTCTGTCCTCTGCCCCAGAGGCTCCAGCGGGAGAGGAAACCTAACAACCTGAGCGACACCATCAGGGAACTGTTTCGTGTGGTGCCCGGGAATGTGGACCCTATGCTGGACAAGAGGTTGGTGGGTTGCCGACGCTGTGCAGTCGTGGGAAACTCCGGGAACCTGAAGGACTCCTCGTATGGGCCTGAGATCGACAGCCACGACTTTGTGGTAAGGTGAGCACTAAACCCTTAAGCCAAGCCCAGGGAACCTCAGAGGTGTGTGAAACACCTTGGCTCAGCTCAGAGGACAAGGATCCAGACCCGGGGCCCCAGTACTGACTGACCTGTGTCTCAGGTCCCCGTCTTTCCCTAGAAGGTGGCATGCAGAGAGGAAGCCTTGGCTGGGGATTTCCATTGGGCTGGTGACTTAGTAGCTAAGGCGCAGCTTTTGGGTGTGCAACACTGATTTGAAGCCTGTGCTTCTGGGGCTCAAATCCGTCCCCACCCCCACTGGCTTTCAATCTAGACCATGAACCAGACACTTTGAATGTCAACATTGCTTCCTCTGTCCCCAAGTGGAATTGGTATCTCAGGAAGATGGATGGATGGATGGATGGATGGATGGATGGATGGATGGATGGATGGATGGATGGATGGCTTCATGCCCATAGACCCCTTCCCTGACTCTCAGTATACCTAGTATCAGTGGGAAGGCCCACAATGAGAGGAAAGTCAGGTTCGTGGTCAGGCTGACCTGAGTTCAAAGGTGTAACTTGGTAGACAGCTTGTCTGGGTTCTGGATCATAAAAACGGGGCACCTAGTAGGTGAAGTTACACAGGTGGTCAGTTCCTGGAAGGCAAGACCCACCCCCACTTGCTTTTATTAAAACAAACAAACAAAACCAAAAACAGGGGTTAGAGAGTTAATGAAGCAATTAAGAGCACTGGCTGCTCTTTCAGAGGTTCTGAGTTCAATTCCCAGCAACCATATGGTGGCTCACAACCATCTGTAATGAGATCTGGTGCCCTCTTATGGCAGCAGGCAGACATGCAGGCAGAACACTGTATATAATAAATAAATAATCTTTTTAAAAGGCAAAAACAAAAAAGCCTTGACCTCTGTGTTACTGAATTAGGGATAGAACTTGGCCTCATGCCTGCTAGGCAAGCTGTCTTCCCCTGAGTTTCTCAGACTGGCCTGGAATGTGTCATCCTCCTGTCTTGACTTCCCAAGCAGCGGGGATTTCAGACCTGCTCTTCTGGGCTTGTCTGGCCTGTGTCTAGAATGTCCCCATTGTTCGCATGGAGAAACAGGACTAGGGAACAAAGAGGCTCACCTGTGGTTATCACACAGGTGACTCCAACTGTAGCCTTCTTACCACACACCCCGTTTTCCTCTCCTCCCAGGATGAACAGGGCACCCACGGTGGGCTTTGAGGCAGATGTGGGGAGCAAGACCACCCACCATCTTATGTACCCTGAGAGCTTCCGGGAGCTGGGAGAGAACGTCAGCATGGTCCTGGTCCCCTTCAAGACCACCGACCTGCAGTGGGTGATCAGTGCCACCACCACAGGCACCATCACTCAGTGAGTTTCTCTAGTGACTGCCCTGTGCCCATCTGTCTCCTACCACGGCTCACTCCTGCCGGACGGCTCCTTGGGACGTCTCTTCCCCCATGCCTCCTGGTACACATGTGGCTGCCATCTCCTTAGTTGATGGACTGACTTGTCCAGCCTCAGTGCTGAGAGCCCTTGTGGTAACTCCATGTCCAGCCTCAGTGCTGAGAGCCCCTTGTGGTAACTCCATGTCCAGCCTCAGTGCTGAGAGCCCCTTGTGGTAACTCCATGTCCATCCTCAGTGCTGAGAGCCCATGTGGTAACTCCATGTCCAGCCTCAGTGCTGAGAGCACCTTGCTATTAGACTGCCCCACGGCACGGGCAGGGCTGTTGGGCACGTACTTTGTGGCTAAGTCAGCTTTGGTTCTCCAGGCGTACGTGCTGCTGTCTTCTCCCCAGGCATGGCTCCTGTCACTTGAAACTTTGGCGTCTCATTCAATCCTCACAGCAGTGCTTCTCATTAGCTCTGGCCTCCAGGGAGCAACCAGGGCTGGGCCAAACCACTTGCCCAACACTGAGCTTGACCCAAAGCCCATGCAACCATCTGGGTCTAATTCCTCAGTCCCTGGCTTTTCTCGAAGGGGAGTGGCTTCCATTTCCAGATGTCCACATAACTCCTGGTCTTAGTCCAGGTCTCTCAGGAACCGAACCAGAGCCAAGAACTGTGGGTTCCAGGAACTCTATGCCTCCAGGGGACAGGGTGTGAGGGAAGGGCTCAGCACTGGGCTCGGCTGCTGGCTCAAGGTGTTCCCCTGGTGCCCAGATACATGGGGAGCCTGAATTGCACCAGTTATGCTCCATGGGTAGTGGATTTTACACCCCGATGCTGTAGCTCATGTCTGCTTGCAGGAGCTGACAACAGCCATAGGTCACCCCAGTCCGTTCCCCAGCACCAGCCTGAGGCCTGCTATTGGCCAGAGATGCTCTGACTCTGGAAGACTGAGAGAAACATCCCTAGGCCCCTGAAAGGCTGTGCTTGGAGCCAAGTCCCCATTCTGGCCCAAATCAGTCAGGGTCACCCCCTGGTGCCACTCTGGAGCTACCGCAGGAGCTATGCTCTGAGAGCCTAAACCTCCCTACCCTCACCAAGACTGTCACTCCCCAGGTGGCCCCTGTCCACATTAAATCCTTTCTCTTTCCTGATCTGCAGCACCTATGTCCCTGTGCCCCCGAAGATCAAGGTGAAACAGGAGAAGGTAAGTGGCAGCTTAAGACCCTCTAACTCTGGCGACTTCTTTTCCAAGGTTTGGTGTTGTGATGGTGGCACTGAGCCACACAGAGTGCCCAAACCCTGGCACCTGGGAAGCTTTTAAGTCCTCAAAGTGGGTCTCAGAACAGCCCCACCACCTGGGAACTTGCCCCAGGTGTGATTCTTCAGGAGTACCCAAAGCTACTACAGCCAACCCAGGGTAGACCAGATGTCCAGCTCTCACTGGAGGGCAGGGGGAGTGTAGGCTACAGTTTTGTTTTGTTTTTAACTATTCCCGGGAGCTTCCCAAAGCCAGACTCTACTTCTGGGGCGGGGAGGAGGGCATATACCTCACTGGCCCAGATGTGTGCAAAAGCAGGAACATGTGTGAAAAACCCATCACATTGGATCTTGGTGCACACTGTCATACTTCTGGAGGCTCAAGAGAGGCCAGTACTATGCCCAGGGCCACAACCTAGATCATGCTTGCAGCTGGAGTTTCTTTCCAGCCTGGTCCCGCAGCCTGTTTGCCCCAAATAAACACATGGATGCTATATTAATTATAAAATTATTGGCCGATGGCTTGGGCTCCTTACTGCTAGCTTACTCTCAATTATTAACCCATTTCTATGAAAGCATGTATTGCCGTGAGGCTGTGGCTTACCTGTAATTCTACATGTTACTTCTTAAGCAGCATGGCGTCTTCTCCTGCAGACTCCCTCTGCCTTCCTCTCCCCAGCCTTTTCCTCATCTGGTCACCCCACTTATGCTTCCTGCCTGGCCATTGGCCAATCAGTGTTTTATTCATCAACCAATAAGAGAAACATATATGCTGAAGGACATCCCCCATCACATGCTAGGACTAGATGAAGTTCCCATGTGCCTTGGGCACTACAATCCCAGAAAGAAGCCATAGAAGTCTCCAGAGGGGGGTCTCTTTCCTAAGACCACAATGCCCTCAAGCAAATCTGAGTAATGAGGAGCCCTGTGGACGCATTCATTCAGCCCTTCCCAGAGGAATAGCATAAGGTTGCCTATACCCTTTGCTGCTGCCAAAGTCCCCTTCAGTGTCCCCATGGCAGTCACAGGGAATGAGGCCAGGCCATGCCTGGCACAGGGAAACCTTCATGGCTGTGTAACACTGAACATGCTGCTTAGCCTCTCTGAACCTTGATTTCTTTACAAGGGGAGAGGAAAGCCATGCATACAGGCTACCTTAGGTCAGAGACTCATACAGGCTACCTTAGGTCAGAGACTCCAGTCAATGTCAGGCAGAACAGGTGGCCTATGGGTATGTTTTTAACGCAGTGTGACGTTTGTCATGATCGCTCACACTGCTTCCCGGAGTGCTTGTGAAGTCATGGGTCACACTCCCTGTCCCCCAGGGGATATTTATAATTTCCACACCACTTACTGCCCCCCTCAAGACTTCCCCCGGCGCTGTGAAGCTGTTCTACGCTTATTCTCGCCCAGAGCCCGCATCACCCTTCAGCCCTGAAACCATGCGGGATGTCTACAGTCCCCAGCACTTGGTCCATCAATGTAGGGATGCTTATCAGGGCCCTGCGTGACCTTGTTCTTACAGCCACAGCAGGACAGCACCCACTCGGCGCTCTGCCCTCTGCTGGCTGTACTCACCCAGTCCATTCTCCCTGCAGATCCTCATCTACCACCCAGCCTTCATCAAGTATGTCTTTGACAACTGGCTGCAGGGCCATGGGCGGTACCCATCGACTGGCATTCTCTCCGTCATCTTCTCCATTCATGTCTGCGATGAGGTATGTCAGCCTGTGTTCCCGCAGGCTACAGGGACAAGGGCTACCCATCCTCTCCGCCAACCCCACCCCCCACCCCGGCTGCACCCTGTGTTCCCATGGGAGTCCAGGGGAGGGGAGGGGGAAGAAGACATTTTCCAACCCCATCTCTCCAAGGGTCCCTGGCACCTGTGCCACCAGGTGTGTGGAAGCCAGACAATACTGTTCTCGAGAGCGGGCATTCTGGAACATTCCAAGGAGGGTGGTTGGGCTCTGGTTCAGCTCAGAATGAAGAAGCAATTTCTAACCAGATTAGACAGGAAGAGGTAAAAAGGCCACAGTTACCACCCTCAGGTTGCTTGCTCAAGCCACCGAGGAGCTACGTTCAGGGCTTGGACCACACCCTGACCCACTTCATCAGAATTTCTAGGAAGCTAAGCAGGCATAAGGGGCTTCTGTTGCCCACCAACTGTGAGACCAGAGCAGGACCCTCAGAGACCCTGCTCCCGTCTCCTGTCTTCCGTTCTACCTAAAGATCCCTGCTCTGCTGGGCTCACCCCTCTCTAGCTCCAATCTGTCCTCGGTCCCACAGCTAGATGATACGCCCTCCTTTAATGCTCCTCGGAGTGTCTCCTCACTGGCCACCAGCTACCCACAGGCTAAAACCCAACTCGGATGGCCCCTCCTTGAAGAGGCCCCTGTCACCTTGGGTCTGTGGCCTTTCCGCAGTGTCCTGGGAGCCATGGATTTAACCCTTGTCTCTATAAGTGACATCCTGTCTGTGACTGCCACACGTTGTAAGGTAGAAGCCCGATGGGTAGGTCCCCGGTACCTGCCAGGTAGCACCTGGGGAAAGAAATCCTGCATTTGATTTCCCGGCACACTGTTAGGTGCAGAATAAGTAGCCACTGGTGTTTGTCACGTGTATGGGGGCCCCAGCCTCAGATGGAGTTGGGACCTCAGAAGCAAGGGTTGGAAACCTGTCACCTACCTTCCGTGTTCATGACTCGTGGCCTCCTTTCTGCATGAGAAAATAAGGCTCTGAGATGATGTGTTAAGAGTCAGCTTTGCCTGTTTTCCAATCCCCTCTCCGCACCTTCTCTCAGGACCCCTGGGAGCTCTAGTGAGGCCCAGTCCCCCTCAGGATCGCCTACCTAAGGTGTCTTTGGGCTGGAATTGGACTTGAGCCTTACTGGGCTTGCTTTGGCTTTCTGAAGAAGGTTCCTCCGAATCGTGAATGTTTACCATGAAATCCCAGGGACAACCGCAGGCAGCCTTTCCTGAATCGCCTGTTACCACGGTCACGCTATCTGGGTCTCACCTTGCCCTTGCCCCACAGGTGGACTTGTACGGCTTCGGGGCAGACAGCAAAGGGAATTGGCACCATTACTGGGAAAACAACCCGTCTGCGGGCGCCTTCCGGAAGACCGGGGTACATGACGCAGACTTCGAGTACAATGTCACCACCACTCTGGCAGCCGCCAGCAAGATCCGCATCTTCAAGGGGAGATGACGCTGCGACCTGTCAGGGACGGACTCTCCACACCTCACCTCTCAACTTGCAGCCCCAGCATCTCACTGGAGCCATTTTGTTCCGGAAGCTTCCAGGGCTGAACTTGAGGTGTTCCCAGGCTCGCCGGCAGCCTCTGGCGCTCTCATTTGGGTAGCATTTTTTGACAAAGTTGTCCAACTCTCCCAGGGTACCGAGCAAGCCTCTCACTTTCCCACTGCTCTCTCCTAGCTAGGGGGAGAGTGGGCAGATACTGAGAAAGGTCTAATGTCCGAATGATGGCAGTTATTTTGACTTCTGGGGTGGGGGTGGGGCATAGAGCATGGGGAAAACAAATCCTGAAGATTCCTATGTTCAACAAGGTGGGCATTTCCTGGAAGTCATTTAGAGGCTGCCACTGAACTGTGAGCCTCGTGCTCAACTCAGACTCTGGCTGGGATGTTTGTGGCAGTTGAGACAACTGTGACAGAGCAGAGCAGCACTGGGCTACGCCAGCACTGGGCCAAGACGCTGTTCGCCTTTGCATGAAGCCTGGCCTGTCACTTGATATGGCATCCCCATTGTCCCGTTCCTCCCAAAGCTCACTGATGATGGCGGGCAAAGCGTCCGATTGCAGAGGTCTCCCGTAGAAACCTGGCCACAGCGGGGGGAAGCCCTCCTCACCATCCTGTGTGATTACACGGATGGCCGGAGCAGGTCTGACTACTTCCACGTGCCTTTGAACTTGAGGAAGAAATGCATGCGTTGGCTGACATGAAGCAAGATCCCCAGCTAGAAAGGGGTGGGGGGGCTCCTCCAGAGAGTCCCGCTTTGCTGCATAGCTCGGAATCTGTTTTCAAATGACACTCTGCACCACTCAGAGTGTGCCGGGCGTGGGATGGGTACTCGCTTCTGTTTCCTCCTCAGACTGTTGGGTTCAGGACCACTAACAACCAGCATCCTCCCCTGAGTCCTGAACACTGGGCTGAGTCCCTAGCAGCCGCCTTCCTGGATGCATGGGGGGAGTCTCAATGGAGGCATCCTATGACCAAAATTGAAATGCATGTACCTCTTCTCCTCGCTCCTGTCTGTCCTCCCCTCCTCCCTCTGTAGACTTGCTGTTATTTATTGATTTGTTAATTCAGCTGACCCTGCCTGTGCACACTCTTCCCCATTGCTGCTCACAAGGTTTTTGTTGCCTTCCGTGGCAAATGGGAGCAGCAATGGAGAGGAAGGCCTCTGAGCTTCCCGGATGTGTGTGTGTGTGTGTGTGTGTGTGTGTGTGTGTGTGTGTGTGTGTGTGTGTGTGTGTGTGTGTGTGTGTTGAGGCATCTGGACTGGGGGCCTTGCTGGGGGGCAGGAGTGATGATCCTTTGTACCACCCGTGTCACCTCCTTTTCCGGCACAGCTGACTTGCCTTCTTCCTCGTTGCAGAAGGGACTCACTCAGCCTGGGACTCCTTGGTGAGGGGATGGAGACAAGGGTGAATGCGCCCTGGACGGTAGTTGTCACCTCCTTGCAGATGTCCAATCAGAGAAACCTCTGTTTCCACTGAAAGTATTCCCTAAAGACCACAGCAGCTTCATCAAGGCAGAGTGTGAGAGAGGTGTCCTGAGGGTGGTGAGGTCGCCCCTTGCTCAGGTTTCCCTGTGCAATCAGAGCTCAGGGGCCTCCATCAGGGGGCCACACACAGCTTTGGTCCATTCATGGGCATCACCAAAGAGCGGACGCCAAGATTGCCATTTATTTCCCAGGAGACTGTCCTGTGAGTGGCTCCGTTGTAGCTTTTGCTCAGTTCTCAAAGACGCAGAATCCGGGCTTTTAATGGAGGGACGGGATGTCCCACTTTTAACATCTTTCTGACATAAGACCCTTGACTGAAAAGGCTGAGCTCCTGTGAGGTCCTTGCTCCGGAGAGGCTTCCTCAAGGGTCCGGGTGTGAGGAACTCAGCAGATTTCGTTTGTGCATCGGTGGGTCAGCCCCTCAGACAAGTCAGAATTAGCGGATGTTGGCGTTGGGGTGACAGCCTGCTCAGGGCTCTACTGCACAAGAGCAAGTGTCTGCAGCAAGAATGTGGCCATTTCTAGATGAACACAGCTCAGGGAGCTCTTCCTGTCTCCATCAGCCCCTCCCACTCCCCTTCCCTGCCTCCCTCTTTCCCTCCTTGTCTCCTTCCCTCCCTCCCTCCTTCATCCAAGGAGGCAGCATTTCCCTTTCCCATAACCCTCAGCCGTCCCCTGTGTCTCACTGGCTTAGCTGCGGGCTTTTAACTGGATAAGATACAGTCCACTGTGGCCAGAATTAAGTGCACCAATTAGTTTAAGGTAACTGGAGCTTTCCTTGGGGTGTGGGTAGCTGAGAACAGGAAGAACCTCCCTTTCCCAAGCAGACTGGGCTGGCTGCTGTGCACAGAGCTGATCGGGAAGCTGCTAAGTCAGGGGACCCAGGGGCTTCTCAGCAGCACCCTACACTACTAACCTGCAGTGAACCAGGAGACGTGTTTCTTGTGCTGGTGGCAGGCTGCCCCATCCTCGGCCTCTTAGGGGAGAGAGAAGGCTATCTGTAGCCCTTTAGCTCCTGGAAGAGACAAGCCAGAGAGAAAATCCTGACACTGCTGCCTTAGGTTGGCTTTTGGGCATCAGACAACATCTGGTAAACCATGGACTAGTGGGACAGACCCACGATAGTACAGGATGGATAGAATAAGGAGGCCAGGAACTAGCTGGGGCCCTGAAGGTCTGGAGATCGCCTTAAGGAAAAGGGTGCAGAGGGTGCTGCAGTCTCCACGGTGGCCACTTGGGGCTGCTAGAGGCCCATCGCACTTTCTGGGGAAAGGGCCTCCCTATCCAATGTGGAAAGGACCACAGGGGATAATGGAGAACTCAGAGGTTGGCTTTATCTGTACCCTTCAAAGCAGCCACCAGTATGCAGGGCGCGAGAGGCCCTGGGTGGCCCACAGCCCACCTGAGGATAGAGTGACAGCTGCTCAAAGTCGGGCAGCTGAAGCCACGGGTTTCATCACAGCCGTCCGAGGTGACAAAGATGTGGTCTTGGCTGCTCAGCCACCGTAGTCTGGCGAGCCAATTGTGAGATAACAATAATGTCAGCTTTCCTCTTGGTTGTCAGCCGGGAGCTGCAAACACGTGTAAGAAACACGAGGGCGAGGGGAGAAGGCGGAGGCCAGCAGAGCGGCGGCTCGTGCCCTCGGCCTCGGAGTGCAGTAACTGTCCTTACCCGAACAGCGTGCAGCCTCGCCAGGCCCGCTTACGCCTGGTGACCTCCCTCTGCAGAAGGGAGGACCCCACCCTCGCCTCTCCCAACCTTTCTGCTCACTCGGCTCCTCCTGCCCAGGGTCTGCCCCGTGGCACCAGCTTTAATTAACCTGTCTCCGAAGCCTCGTCTGGATCTTGCTGTCCTAGGTGGACGTGAGTCCCTCCTGCATCCCAGACCTCTGCACAATCACTTCAGCCCTTCGCCCAGAGCCTGGTCTGCACTCTGCTCAGCTCTCTTTAGTAGGTGGACGTGAGTTCCCCCCTGCACCCCAGACGCCTGCACAATCACTTTAGCCCTTTGCCAAGGCCCCTTCAGAGCCAAAGTTCTTCAAGCACTTTCCTTCCCAAGAGCTTTACCTTCCTTGCTTCCCGCGGCCCAGCGCCACCCATGCACACTTTGCTTTCTCGCCCCCCCTACCTTGTAATCCTCCGGATCAGTCTGAATGCATTTCCAATGACGTTAGCGAGCCTGCCTTCCTCAGCCCCTGCTTTTGTTTTATTTATTGTTGAATATTTCCAATGATCCGAACCAACGTGAATAAAAAGAGCTATTTTATTGTTGGGGTGTGTTCAGAGTTCTGCTTTGGTGAAGTTTCTATTCAAGGGGCAGGAAGGGGATGGGTGTCCAGCCCTGAAATGGCTGCATGAGTCATCTCCTGGGGTCCCCTGGGATGTTGCCCTCCCCGTAGGTAGAAGCCCAGGAGACAGTGTGGCGCCCTTCCCTGCTGTGCGACCCTGGCCGGGTTACCTAACCTCTCTGAACCTCTACTGCCTTCTGTCAGATGAACTTGACCTTGCCAGTGTTCAGAGGGGGCAGTGACCAGAAACAAAACATCCCAGGAGGCCAAGGTGGACACAGGCCAGTGGCCCTGATGTTTGCCTGGCTGGGCCCCAGTACGCAGAGAAGAGAACCACTCCCTGGGAGGAGCTCAGGGCAGATTCTGAAGTTGATACAATCCCTCTTACTGGGATATTTTTTTGTTAAAGAATTATTTTCAGAAGCCTTGAACTGGAACTTTGTCGTATGAGATAGGTGTCTGCCTGTGATCCCTCCCTCGTGATAGGCGTGGCCCTTTCCAGTTTATATGCTACCTCGATTGCTTTGGCTGCTCTTCCAACACAGCTCACCGCGGATGGTAAACAGGAGAAGTGAGCCTAGCTGCCTGCTCCAGCCTGCTGCCCCACCCCTGAATTCACTGGATGGTTCCGAAGCCAGTTCCAGGACAACATGAACAGGTCCCCAGACCCAGGCAGTCTGGGGGCTATGGCCTGGCTGGGCTAGGCTGAGCGGGTTGCAGAGTTTCTCTGTGCCTGACCTCCATGGACAAAGCTTGGATAGTGACACACCAGATTATACACACACATGCACCAACCATTGAGTCCGTAACGGGCAATGGGCTTAGCAAGGAAGCCAGTCCTGGACAGGGGAACTCCATCCTGTCTGACTTCACCCTGCTCCCTGTATGTCCATCCTTGTCTTCCCAGGCTTACCATTTCTAATTCCTTTTCTTCTATTGCTTTTGTTTCTTCACCAAGGGTCATGCTTATTCATTATCCAAATACACAGAGACAACATACACAGTGTACACACAAACTACAGGCATGCATAATATACCATGAATACAGCCAGGCGCTGGTGGCTGACACCTTTAATCCCAGCACTTGAGAGGCAGAGGGATCTCTGTGAGTTCGAGGCCAGCCTGGTCTACAGAGTACCAGGATAGGCTCCAAAGCTACACAGAGACAATACATACAACATGCTATCTATGTGCACACACACACACACAGCCTATAATCAAACTCGTTCAATTCCGTGTAGTTCCCTGTGGCATTTGGTGATCGGGTCTTTGGGAGGCAACTCAAGTGAGAGGAAGGTTGGAGATATATCTGATAAGGACATTGTAGCAAGAACAGACACATTGAATACCAGTGTTCCTCCCTCCCTCCCTCCCTCCCTTTCTCTCTCTCTCCCTCCCTCTCTCTCTCTCCCTCCCTCCCCACCTCTCTCTCCCCCCTTTCTAGTCTCCATCTCTTCCTCCCTCTCTCTGTCTCTACCATGTAAAGTCACAGCCACCTATGAACCAGGACATCCCTCACCGGAAGCCACCCTGGTCTCTGAGTTCTAGCCTCCGGAACCTGAGCAATCAGATAAATGTCTGTTGTCGAGGCACATGGTGGGTGGAGCTGGACCTGTGGCCCCAAGGTCCTCAAGGAGGTTCCACCCTCCTGGTCCCCTCTAGAAGGTAGAACATCCTATTCTTCTCACTTCCTCCGTGGCCACTCCCCTGCTGACCTGGCCACCGGGGGCATGGTACTGCCGTGAAGCTAGACGGACACTTCAGCTGGAGGGGATGGGCAATAGGACCTTCCGCCCCTCCTTGCAATGCTGAGCCACGCACCCTAGTCCGTTGCAGACTGTGCTTAGCCTCCACTGAGTCCTGAATTAACGTTCCCATCTCTCCAACGGTAGCCCTGAAGTGGGATGGAGGATTTGAGCTCTAAACAATGAGCATGACACTTGTGACATAGGGGACAAGGACCCTGGGTGGTGTCCCCAGCAGAACCCTGGACACGAGTCCTGCATAGTAGCTTGGAGCAGAAAAGCTGACCTAGCCCAGGGCTGCCCAGATCCTTCTGGCCGTGGCATAGAGCAGCACTGGAGTGTTCTGTGGGTGGCCACCAGAGGGTGCAGCAGAGCCACCTTGGTCACGATTGTGACGGTTTTGAAAACCACGGAAGAAAAGGTACCCAGCTATGAACAAAGTCAGAACTTCAGAGGACTTCGCCTTAGAAGGGAGCAAGCCCAACGCCTTTCAGGTAGCAACACTGTCTCTGTCACTTAGCTAAGCAAACTAAGCAAAGTCAAGAAAACAGGTCTGGGCCCAGTAGGAGAACGCCAAAGTCAGTGTGGACAGCATAATAAGTGCTCTGGGTGTCATCTTCCTTGGGTCATATGAAACCTAGGCCCACTGGGCCCCTGGATCTGAAATCTGTTCTTGGCTTCCCCATCCCTGTCTTGTTGGCTCTCTGTGATTTCTGAATCATATGCCTACAGGGAGCCTGGCCTCTCCGGATCTTGGTTTATCAATCTGCAAAGGGTACTAACCAACGTGGTGGACAAGAGACTGAAAGTTAGATGTACGTACAGTACCAAAGACAGTAACGCCATTTGCCTGCGATCACATGTTCGTAACCACTCAGCCAAGAATGAAGACGGGAGCTGATGGTGTATCTATCCATCAGGCTGGGACAGGCTAATGTAAAACAAATGGGCTCCAAGTCCCGCTAACTTAGAAAAGCAAGGCTAGTTTCTTCTTGGGGCAGTTTCAGGGGTTTGTGCTTCTCCCCGTGTGGTTATCCAACCTGCCCTGTATATTTTTGTCTCGTGAAGGGCATTGCCAAGTTCACCTTCAGCACATAGCCTTCAAGGTCACTGCGCAAGAAGCTGGTAATGGCTCATAAGCTCTCAAATGTCAGCAGTTTGATCTGATGCCCATCACCTCTGTGCTAGGTCCATTGACCCAGCAAACAAAACCATAAAGAGAATGAATGGTGGGGAGGAACTTCCAGGATTCTTGAGGGCAACTTCCTTGATGTCAGAGATACTGTCCCAGACTTAGAGCCACTTAGCGACAACTCAACAGGTCTGCCCAGGTAAGCTTGAGCAGAGGGCTCAGATCCAAAGTCTTAGAGAGTGCAGGCAGCAGGCCAGACCCTAGGGAGGCATCAGAGGGAACAGGAGGATGGAGACCGAGGCCGTGGTGTGCCCTAGCTGCCATTGTGGGTAAGCAAAGGCAGAGAGCACTTGGAGATGCTGACCGGTACCTTGAGCATCAAGAATACAATGGAAAGATGGTGGATCGTTTGCCCAGGAATCCAAGCTGTTCCCATTCTCAGGAACTTCAGGGTGGCTCTTTCCAAGTGCTGACCTCAGAAGTTTTGCTCCCAAGACACACACTGAAAGGCTTGAGCCAGGTCCTTGTAAGTGAAGGTTCCCTCCATCCCTGCTGTTCCACTCCCAGAGGCCACCCCTTGGAAGGCAAAGACACTAGAGGTGAATTGCTTCTGAATAAATGCCCATCAGTCTAGCAAAGTACCCAGAACCTGGTAGGCAGATGAATCAGAACCATGATGATTGCCACATAATATTTTGTTTCGATAGGATGAACGCTAGCCTGTAGTGAGAGCTTAAACATTCCAGCCACATGTTAAGCCAGCCCTTACCTGCTTTTCATATGGCCCCAGTTGGGCAGCCTTACTAACATAACGTTTTATAAATCTAGCATTCTAAGAAGTGAGCCTCTTGGCTCAGGCCACACAGCTCAGCAGCTGTGGACCTCAGTGGGAACCAGGGGCTCAGGCTCAGAGCTGACACTGCCTTTCCCTTATCCCAAAATAGCTGTCAGGTGCACACACCATCAAGGCACCCCATGCTGTGTGGGTAGATTCCAGGCCGAACTCCCAGAGAGAAGCTGGACTTAGTGTGGTGTGGTGTGCCGATGGTGAGAACTGCCCTGCCCTCGAGGCCAGAGAAACTGACCCCTGAGCCTGGCTCCACACAGAGTCGCCGTGGAGAGGAGACACTGGGCTAGTCCATCACCCCAGAGCCGGCCAGACAGGGAGCCTGGGCCTTCCAAGGGGTTCATTTGTGCAGAAACCGTAGAAGGGCAGGTACTCCAAGCTGGATGCTGGGGGTAGCATCAGACTTCATCAGAGCATGGGAAGAGGGCTAAGGACCTTCTCTGCGGGAGGCCCAGAAGCCCTCCTCATCTTTGCCGTGGCTTCCTTCTGTCCTTGTTTATATCCTTCTAGAACATTTCGCAGATTCCCTACACCACACTCACCTACCTGCACTGCTCAAGTCTCCATCCCTTGTCCTACTCCTCACCCTGACAACACTCCTCCTGACCTCTGGAGACACACACTCCTCACCTAGGTCCCCATGTCCGTCTGCCTTCTAAGGCGTTTCCTGGGACGGTTAGTGTTGCTTCAACCCCGCAGACCTTCCTTCCCCTCCCGGCTCTGCCCGCTGCTCCTCTGTGCTCTCCACTACAGGACAGGTGCCACCAGTTCTCACAGCTGAGACTGACGAGTCCCACCTGGTCACCTCCACCCTCCACACACCCAGCATCTGCCCTGCCCTTCTGCTTCTAGGAGAGGCCTTACTCCTATCCACGCCACCACGGCCCTATTCCTTATCCACGCCGCCACGGCCCTATTCCTGCAGCGTGTGTTCGGGATATTTTCATCTCCCAATGAAGAGAACACCGGGTCAACTCACCATCAGTTCCTCCCTCTGCAGCTTGTCTCATCACCTGCCCGCTGCTCTTCGTGCCGCTCCCACCCAAGCCAGAGTATATCCGCCCTCTGTCGCCACATCTGTGCTGTACAATAATCTTCCCGTTGTTCAGGCTTTGGCTCACTTACACTTGACTTTGGTCTACACGGGATCCAGGACTTCTCTGCCTGCTTTCTATTTCTTGAGCCGGTAGATGTGTGTGGAAGGCAGGAGTACCACACAGAAAGAACTGCTCCCACCCCATGCGCACTCAAGATCTGGT